TAGCAACATGCCGTCCATGGTTCCTAGGCAAGCTGCTATCTCTGCAAGACACAGGACTCGAGATCAACCATCTAGAAAAGGGAAGACTCGACCCTTAGGCTTGCGGTTAATAGATGATAGAAGGATCACATCACACACTACATTATATATTATGTACTGTAGAGATGCAAGTTTTTGCACGTCTGCTGGGCTAGTTCAAGCTTGTATATAAAAAGTCACAACCCTTCTTCCCCCTGTCCCTGCACACACACACACACACACACACACGCGTTTCTCTACAAAATGCTGCAAAGTTTTCTGCAACATGCATTCCAGCGTGTTCAAGACCACCTTACATAGGAAATCATAGGAATGTCCACAGTTGTCTACTACAGAATCACAAGTCTGCAAATCAGCACGTTAGTGCATTTTGGGGGTCCACTCAGATTTCCCCTCTACCAAATGCCAAACCTCAAAATGCAGGACACGTTTTCCTATTTAAAAAAAAAGATATTGCAGTGGTCAACACGTCCCATTCTGTAGAGAAAACGTGCAGGAGGATGAAACACATTGAAAAACGGAAGACTCGACCCTTGGGCTTGCAGTTAGACGACAGAGGAATCACACAGCAACATCATCATTCAGAATGCTTCTGTCGCGCTGTTAATGCTGCTTGAACAGTCAGCCCACAGGTCGCTTAGGCACACGATAGTGTGACATCTCGCGCTTCCCCTCCTGATAATCTGCTCCCTGCAAACTTTCAAGAGCTTGTGCGAGGCTGTTGAAGCTTGTAAACCCCGAATATTAGCACTTAAACACCCTTTTCTTTGCGGCCCATCATCATCCAACCCAGTGAATCACAGTGAATTACAATCTGTCTTTCTCCAGGTTCTTCAGGAATTGTAATACTTAAGAGGCATCACTGACATGGACATGGAATATGGACCCATGTCCACGCCGACGTTTTTTGCTTTGAGGTCACTCAAAGTATCTTTCCCATCTCCAGGCTTTGTGAGATTTCCCGGTGCCCGGTGCTCTCCCGTCGTTCCGCAGCGGGTGCCTTCAGGGCCTCCAACTCCTTCAGCAAGGCTCGAGCGCGCGGGCCGTAGACCACCCAGCTGACCAACTCCTCAAGAATGAGATCTGCTGCACCGGCTGCTAGCAGCAAATGCATTAAACAGGGAACCCACCAGTAAACAACAACTAAACAGCTAAAGCCAAAGCCAAGTATTCCGACACGAACTGCACGTCCAAATGGTTTGAGAGGCCCCATCTACGAACTGCGGGGGTAAGTAGGGTAGATGTTGTGGTGGTAAAGGGAAGGCTTCACAGCAATGGATGCTCCACATTTTACGACTGGGCGCCTTAGAGTCTTAGAGGTGGTTCAACTCAGCAGATCGAGGGAACACCCTCTGTCAAAGAGTGGATGAAACAGCACCGGGTAGTTCCAAGGTCATGTGGGGAAGCCCTGTTGAAACATCAAGTTTGCCTATGACAGATTGTGTAAGTTCATGTTTTTTGTTTGATCATGTTCACTCAGCGGCCGGCACCTTGGCACCCCAGGACACTTCTCCAAGAAACTGTGTGTTGCTTCATGGGTGCAAGGCTTGGCTCAACCAAAACCTATCCGAGTTGAAGACATCTAACTTCTAACCCTTTTCCTTTCATCGTGTTGAACAAACACCCACAGCTGCCAAGTTCATTTGGCTTTAGGAGATCCATGGAGACCCAGGAAATAAACGTTCGATCTACAATGTTTCTGACCCACACAGCGACCCACACGACCTGCTCTCAGATTCCCCCACCGCAATTCCCAATCTGCGAGGTGAACAGAGTTCAACTGGTTCGAAATTGGAACCCGAATCACCATGGCTCGTCTCCTCTTTGACGGCCTGCAACTTGTCTGTAAGGCATGGGACCTGGCTCAGCCAAGGCATGGAAATCAATGCCGAGTGTGGCATGAAATCCATGAATGCATGTACATTTAAGGAAAACACAAGCAACAAATGAGCTCGCCAATATGCTGAACGCGAGACTCTTTTGAGTTTCCTGCAATGGTACTGAAGCCGGGAGAATCCGTCAACGTCGGAGAATCAAGCTCCAGCGTTCCCAACTATATATAGCTTATGCCTTGGCTGCTGCTCCACAACAACCTTCTCCTCGGAGAAGTATGAGTCTAACACAAAAGGGACAGTTACTCATGTCTGAAATCTCAAAATTATTGGACACATCGGCAATGAAAACCGTCGGGCCAGCCCCACCTCATGCTGGCCCATGTGCACCAGCGCGAAAAATAACGCGCAATGGGCTGCCGAAAGGCAACCTCTTGAAAGTCAAATCAAGTCTTGCAGACTTGCAGGGGTGTTTCGTTTCTGATTCCAATCGCCCATGCGTTGAGTCTTCCTTATTTTGCAATCATTATGCACTTCAGATTTGGCTCCTGAGCTTGGGTGTGACAGGAGGTATCGGATGGCAGCTCGGAATAGACTTGTAGCGTTGGAGTTCAATTTGATAGTTCTATTAGAGCACCATGATTGCTGGCGCTCTGAATCATGTTTGGCTCCCTGGTATTGTTCTTGTTTGCAGCTCTGCTGGGTTCTTGAACTGCTCTTTCATTTGTGGTTCGTTTGGACTGTGTCGTGACTGCTGCAATGAGCTGCTGGTCAGCCAATCAATATTATGGCTTGGATGTTCATCCCGCTCCAGTGCAACATGTGGGCGTGTGCATGAGCGACTCCCCCCAGTCACTTCCAAGAACTCAGCCCGGTGCCAAATCAAGTCTCCTCATTTCAATGCCAATGCATGCTAAATGCTCTTCAACCTCCTTGAACAACAGGTGCTTTGTAGACTTTCCAACAATTTCAGTCGGATGGCGCCCGTTCTTCCACATCAGTTTGGATGAGGAAATCATACGTAGCAAATCCCCATAGTAGGTTGGAGGCCATCCCTAGTAGGTTGGAGGCCATCGGTATTAGCTTTAGCATTCCAACCGAATCCGCGGCCGGAACTGATGTCACCTGATGTCACCAAGCACGACATGAGCATCGACCCGTGGCCCCCCCTTTTTTGGGGCGACCGATTCGCAGCGCCCCGTGAGACACGTGGATGTGCAGGTGAGCTTGATCCGGATGACCGTGGATGACCCCAAAATCCTGTTGGCCCTCTTGAATTCGGACCATGCAAAGGCTGAAGCTACAGTTGCAAAGGCTGAAGCTAGGAACACGAGCAGTGTTCTTTCATATCTTTCATCAAGCTCATCAGTCTACAGATCGCTCATGCGCAGTAGGTCCATTCCTCACAAGCCGACCAATCGGACAACAGAGAGGCCCTCCTGTGATTCACTTAGAGTCTCAAAGCGACTCAAGACTTCATGGAATTAAGGAAGAGCCATGGTCATGGTCAGGTGAGATTCAACTCAAAGGTCATGGTGAAATCTCCATGGAGCGCTGAAGACAATCGGCATTTGGGACCCCGAAAATCACCATCCTGTGAAAACAAAAACGAAGAACTGAGCGCCGAAGAGGTAAAACCTTGTGAAAAACGGTGAAATGGTCCGTACATCTCAGTGTGCCTAGAGGTGATGTTGAATGGCCTCCAAAAGCCAGCAAAAGAGGTATCCAGTCATCCTAAGTTCCAGACTTTTGAGGATCTCAGCACAGAAGTTGCTCATGCTTCACTCAGCACTCAGTCCATTCCAATCAGCCTAACAAAGCCTGGGGCCCCGGTCCCCGTTGAGGAAGACTCGTGAGAGCATCTTCGGCCGGCCATCGCCCTGCATTACCTGGTTCTGAAGGGCTGTGGGTAGTCCACAGGTTGCGCGGAGCCAAGTACCCAATGTGGAGGGAAGCCGAATCACAAATCCTGAAACCCTGGAGGGGTGCTTTTTGGTGGAAGGGATTTTTTGCGTTTCCAGGTGGGGGTTGGCATGCCGAATTGGAGATGTTTGGGGACACGACCCAGGGTAGCTCTGTTGTCTACATTTGTGGTGACCTCCCTTCTCGCCTGCAAGTGATGTACAGGCGTGAGAAGAGTGAAGAAGCGGGAAAGGAAAAGGAAAAAGAACATCCGTGCGCTGTTCCAAATGTGCCAGCTATGTGAATGGTAAGCCTCGAGGAACTTGCGAAAAAGTTAAATTCCTCTGAGTCGGCACCCAAAATGACAAATTTGCAAAAACTCGTCTGGGGCCCAAACTCCCGAGTCAGATCCCTCTGGTATCCCGCCGCCGTCGCCTGATGTTTCAACTGCCGTTGAGGCTTGGCATAGCGCCAGGTGTTGGGATGCCGGAAGCGCTCCTCCAACGGCGACGACCAAGTCGATGCCGAAGCGTCGGTGAGGTTGCCGAAGGAGCTCATTGTGCATGGCCGAAAGTACCAAAGTCTTCATCAAATTGAGTCATCATGCGGAGCCACATTGCGTCTGGCACGACTTCGTGTGGAATATCCATCTGTGCATCCACATATTTGATCATATTTGTAGAAAGCATGAGAAACATGTTGCTGGCAAAGGAGCTACTTGGCTACATGGCCTCCAAAGTAGCACGATGCCCGGCACGTGAGAGGAGCCCCTCAGACATACTTCGACGGCTTTCCATGGCAGCAGCCTCTCGTTGGGTCTGCAAATGAAAGACTGAGCTTGACCCCTTAGAATGGAAGTGGATGAAAGTCTCCATCATCTTGCTTCAAAACCGGCAAAAGAGGGTAGATGGTGTTGCGTTCAAGAACTTGAACTCGCAATCATCCCGGAGAAAGAGAGTACTAGCGATACTAGTGCGTGCGGTATGTACTTTAGACAACTTTAGAATGCTGCGACCAGGAGTTGCAACTGCAAGACTTCAAAATCTTCTGAACCCGCCTGATATCTCGGATGTATCTTTGCAATGAAACACGGGCCGAGCTTCCATCGATTTCCCGAACTTCCCAACCCAAATCTGCCTGTTGAGCTTGGAATGCTTGCTTGGACTGAATCCTCAGCTGCTCTTCCCTCTTCACCTCCTGATCGAAGCTGAGACCAGCCCTGATGGGGGCCGAAAACGTCTGCCAAAACGAGTTGGTACCTGGACCGCTCCCAACCGGAATTCTAAGCGGTGGATCGTCCGTGGGACCCTAAAATTGGATGGTCCTGGTGTGTATTTTTTGTTTACACATCATCAAAATCGATCAACACCTTTCACACAAAGCGACTTGCTTCTTGCTTGTCTTGCTTCTTGGAGACACACCCGCATGCCCTACTGCAGCAGGACAAAGTCCTCTTAAGAGGTCCTATAACATCGTGGATCAGCCACAGTCGAATTACCAAGTCCATTTCGCATGGCAGGGCATGGCGGAGATAATCTTCGATCATTTCAGCAGATTTGGAAGGAGGAATTTGGCCCGCAGGAGGTCCCAGTCTAAGGGGCCAAGGCGTCCGCTCTGGAACCTTCACGAAGAAACCTGTTTGTCCTGGTGGTGTATACTTGTGCAGTTGTGCATTCGTGGGGATTTGTGAGTATGGCTTCAGATGAGATGTTGTCAAGAATCGCTGGCAAAGACATCCCAAACCTCGTGTTATCAGAGCTTCAGTTCAATCTTCCATCAGAGCATGAACCCTAAGTATCAATTCACAGTGCCAGAAGCTGCAGCATTTCTCTTTCCACATGTTCGGTGAAGCTGAATTGAACTCCATGACTCGATGTCAATGTTCTGGACCTCGTGAAGAATCCCTTTCATCAACCAGTTTCAACACGCCAAAGGAACTTGACGAGCTTTACAGGGTGTTTTCTTTGCATATAAGCTGATGTAAGAACATTTCTCTATCATCTCGGCCCATGTCTTCAGCTCCTTGACCCTCACCAGCTCCGTGTGAGCCTGGAGTTGGTGAAGATGGAGGACTTGCACCCCGTGACGTGCCCAGCATATGTCAGCCGACTCCGATTACGGGCGAAAGGTCGTGAACGCCCAGTAGACCATCTGTCAGTGAGGAAAACCAGTGCCCAATACTCCATCCCCAATCCACCTGAAACGTTGACCAATCTTGAGTGCGAGTCCGCTTTTTGGTTGGACACAGAACATGAATCCATTCAATTCCATCCAAACTGCCTGTCAGTGGACCCCCAGTCGCAGGAGAGGATCAAGACTAAGGGAAGAGGTTGGGATTTGAGCTCCACGTGATCTGAGCTATTTGAGTTTGTGTTCCTTCGGACGTCCGTGTCGAAGTCATAAATGGAAGTGGAAGTGGCCATGGAGGAACAAAACAAGTTTCCTCTATGAGTAGAGGCCGCTTCTAGGAGCAAAGGGCATCGCTAGGCTCCTGGCCTTACTACTAGGAACAAGAAGCTGCTAGTAACAAGAA